CCTCTACCTCTTGAGCACCAGAGAGTAAGGGTAGCATTAGCATTGTGACTAAACATTAGCTTCATGCTCCGATAGCTGAATCAAACAGATTTTGTGGACCAAAAAAATCGCAATATATCACAATATATCGCCTTGCTTACAGTATCGCAATATATTGGGATATATCGTATCGTGACCCCTCTGTCATGATATGTATCGTATCGCCAAATTCTTGCCAGTACACAGCTCTACTATCAGGCTATGGAGAGCTGTTTCATTCAAAATATAACTAACTAACGAACGAACGTTCGTTCATTTGTTAGTTAGTTATATTTTGAATGAAACAGCTCTCCAAATCAGTCCAGTTTGCCTCTGGTAGGAGAAACCGAAGCACTGCCAGTCCATATCCACAGATTCTCCACAGCAGGTGTTTGTGCACCAAACAAGACATGGAGACGTTATTCCCAACTTATACAGTTGCTCTTTTCTGATTGGCCTGATTTGAACAAACTTAAACCGATGACACCTGCAGATGTGTCCCAGGTGCACGCCCAGGTCAGCACCCTGCTGTCTGGTGGAACTTACAGAGCCGGGGGTCACCATAACCATTTGCTGTTTCATTTTTTGTTTCTCCAGGAGACAAATCTTTACTGAGGTGTATCTGGTCACCAACGCAGACAAGTGAGTTGCACTGACCAGCTGTGGTTGATCTAGATTGAATGTTTTTTGTTCTGTTAAAGTGTTTAAAGCAGCTTTAATCTTGTGTGGTTAGATATAAGCACTTCGAGCGCTGGGCCACAGCCAATGACTTCCCGGTGGAAAACGTGGTGAACGATGGCAGCACCACGTTAGAGGACCAGCTCGGGGCCGTAGCTGACCTGGAACTGGTCATTCAGAGTCGAAAGCTGCAGGATGATGTGGTGGTGGTAGGTTTAATCTGTCTGTGGATTAATGGCGTTTCAGATTAGTTAAACAGCTTTTGTTCTCTGTACAAACAGATTGCTGGAGACATGCTGTGTGCAGACCAGAACTTTGACATTGCTCAAGTTATTCGCTTTTTCAGGTCAAAGGTAGGATTCTTAAAAGTTTCCAATTGATGTGTTTGAACTTGTTGGAGCTCAAGTTGCTCTCTTTTGTCACAATCTACTGACACTTCTTCCTGTCTGTTAGTGTTTCCCAGTGGTGGGCACCAGCCCGCTAAAGCGCTAATCCACTAATTGCAGACCTAAATATTCCATTTGCGCTTTAGAAGACTTACTAATTTTTATAATTCATAAGCAGATTTGCGCTTTCTAAAATTAAATTGCAGTACCACTAATAACTAATTATCTACCAGTCATCATTATGTTGAACAGCAGAAGGTATGTCTGTCAATGAATCACAACACATGTGATCTATCCAACAGCACCC